TATTTATTAACAGCAAGCCAGTCATTAGTATTGTTTCTATAGATATTCGATTAACAAGTATCCCTTATGGGAAACGAAGGGATGGGCCGAATTAAAGGAATAGGTTGGCCTAGTTAACTGCAGCAGGAGCATGTCCTTAAGGCACAGATCGCTCATGCTATTGTTTGTGGCCTAAGAATGCCTTTAAGCGGTTTTCCGCCCTGGGCGGGGTGTTCCTTGCCCTCATTGGTAAACCTTTCCAGTGTGGGCGTTACGGCCATCATGAACAGGTCACAGTGCTGCAGATTTTGTTTATGGCCAGTTTTGGGGCCAGTTTATGGCCAGATTTTGGAGGGCTTGTTCCCAACAGTAACTCATTGTTTTCAGCTCTCCAGGTTTACCTCTTCAAATTTATGCAGAACTCCAAAAAATCATTTTCTGTGTACCTCCTTCTGACGTTTTCAGCCAATTTTGGCCTCAAAGCTAAGAACATGTTACTTGGTCATTGCCGAGTTATTTGTCCTTCCTTCCATGGGGCAGTAAGCTAAGACTTTTAGCCTAATTCTCATGATGGAACAACTTCAAAGAAAAGGGAAAAACAAAGTGCTTTATTAAAATGTACCATTATGGTCAGAACTTCAATAGTGCGGAAGGCAATGTGTGCATAGGAAACAGGGAACTATATGTGAACTCTATAGTTTCTGCTCAATTTTGCTATGAACCTAAAACTGCTCTAAAAATTAAGGTTTATTACTTTAAAAAATGCTTTATTGTTCCGGTTCTGTACCAGGCCCTGTGACAGAGATCATATATATTGTAGGGTCCAAGTAATGTGGGAAGCCTCCCTCATCTAACCAGCTTTCTCTGCTCCTCTGCTTGAAATTGAAAACAGTCCCACACAACTCTGAGCCTCATCAGACTCCCAGTGAAAATTTCTCAAGTCCAGGGTCAGGAGTGCTGATCATCGGAGGCCACTTGGTGTTTTTCTTTAAATGGCAAGAGTGGAACAGAGCTTGTCAGTCCTTGCCAAGTTTTTTTTCCTAATGCTGATTACTTCAGATAACTGTCATTTCCTTTCTCCTCTCCTTCCCTACTAGTGGAACCCTGATTCTATTCAGCCTGGCAATCAGTCCTGCCAGGACCACACTTTCCAGGGTTCCTTGGTCTAAAGTAGTCTGTGACAGTTCCAAGGGATTACACATAAAGGAGTCACTAGGTGGCATTTCTTGAGAAAACTAAATGAGTTCAACCATAAAAACGTCTCTTCTGCCTTTTCCATCTTCATGGTTGGAAAAATGATGTGGCCAGTTATAGCAGTCAGTTGTTACAGAGGTAACCTTGAGAATGGAAACCATGCGTTAGGGATGGAAGAAAAGCTACAAACAATCTAGGACATCAGTCACGAAGCTTCCATATCACTGGGGTACCTCATTTTTACCCGTTTTTCTGATGTTACCAGTTCAATGCAGTTACACCAACACCACATGCTTACTTATGGATAGTTTTTAAGTCAAACTAAAGTAAGTTATGGGTTTCTATCAAGAAGTAGGATTTCAGAATCCCAAAGGGTCTGATGCTTCCTTCAGGTCCACCATTCAACCAGCAAACAAAACATTGCTCAGGGTAAAGATTGATGACCAGTCCTAAGAGGGCTCAACTCCTTTCCCAGTCCTCACAGGACCCCAACAACAGAAAGCAAAGTAGGAAACAAAATGAGGGGAGAGCAAGGAACCTGGAAAATTTTTAGTTCAACAGAGTAGAAAAAAGGCTAGCGGATGTGACTCAAATATTTCAGTAAAAATGATTAGAGATAAATTTAGAATAAGTGAATCTAGAAATACTTTAAGTGTCTTTCTCTGTCGTCCAGGATGGAGTGCAATAGCGCCATCTCCAGTCACTGCAACCTCCACCTCCCTGGTTCAAGCAGTTCTTTTACCTCAGCCTCACAAGTAGCTGGGATTACACGTGCCCACCACTATGCCCAGCTATTTTTTATTTTTAGTAAGATGGGGTTTCATCATGTTGGCCAGGCTGGTCTCGAACCCCTGACCTCAGGTGATCAGCCTTGCCTTGGCTTCCCAAAGTGTTGTGATTACAGGTGTGAACCACTACGCCAGGCAGAAATACTCATTTTGAAATCACCCCTAATCCTATCACACCTCATTTCCTTGCTCTTTTCCTACACATCTTCACCTAAATCAGTGCACATGAAATTGATGCAGTTTTGCCACAACTTAAATCTTTAAAGAACTGTACCATGTAAGGTACCTTAGAAAACATACCCAACTATCTCAATTCATAAAGGAAATTTGAAGCCCCAAGTATGAGAACATCCCTAGAACCTGCTTCCTTCCTTCCACTGGAACAAGGGGCTGGGCAGCAGAGGGGCAGGATGGGAAATTCCACTGAATTTCCTTTCAGCCTTCTCACCCCTGGAGCCTTTTAAATGTATTAACTGCTCATGATCAGGCAAGGGCGATTCACGCCGGTAATCCCAGCACTTTGGAAGGCCACAGTGGGTGGATCACTTGAGGCCAGGAGTTCAAGACCAGCCTGGCCAACATAGTGGAACCCCATCTCTAATAAAAATTTTAAAAATTACCTAAATCCCATCTACTCCACCCAGGAGGTGGAGGTTGCAGCAGTGAGCTGAGAGATCACACCACTGCATTCTAGCCTGGGAAACAGGGTGAGACTCTGTCTAAAAAAAAAATTAAATACACTACTGTTCAAAATAGTTGGAAAAAGATGGCATGCTGATGCACAAATTCCAGTCTCATTCTTAGAACAAACGCTCGAACTAGTGAAACGAGAGGTAAGAGTTTTTACAAGGTAGTGTCTGCCTGAGCAGACTCAAACAGTAATTACTCAAGTAAAGAAAGGAGGCTGTCCTGGCCAGCACTTTGGGAGGTAAAGGTCAGAAGATAATCAGGAGTTCAAGATCAGTCTGGGCAACATGGTGAAACTATCTCTACAAGAATAAAATTAGCCAGGCATGGCTGTGTGCACCTCTAGTCCCAGTTACTAGGAAGCTCGAGTCTGGGAGGTCAAGGCTTGCAGCAAGCTGTGATCATTTCACTACATTCCAGCATGGGTGACAGAATGAGACCATCTCAAAAACAAAAACAAAAACAAAAACAAAAAACAAAAAGGAGGGCAATCCTGAGCAGTTAATTGTCTGTACAAAGTCACACAAGTGTTTACAAAAATGGAAGAGCTGGAAATGGCTCGCATTAGCTTTATTAACACATCTGTAAATGATCGTCCAATGACCACATTATTGCTAATGAGAAATGAAACTAAGAACAAATCATAGTAATTACAAATGAAAAATACATCTAATACTGCAAGGATGGGGATAAGTATGACTTAAAAACCACAAGTTTTGAAGTATGTAATGTTTTTATTGAAAAGATGTGTAACAAAACATGTAACACCATTACCCTATCAAGGAAATCATTTTCGTTTTATTGACCTTCCAGTTCTTATACATATTAAACAGACAAATCACTGTTACATACCATAATGAGCAGCAGCTCAATTACCCATTCCCACACCATGCAATTCCATCCCAACAGCCCCAAATTTTAAATCCAGAAGACAAACCTAGAAACATGGCAAGATAAATATTTACAGTGTAGAAAAACAGCAGTATTTCAAGTTTTGTTAAATTCTTTCCTTCAGACATAATGTAGACATCCAGACAAGAGAAACCTGAGCAAAAACAAACCAGGCTTTCTAAACTTTCCAGTGACCCCAAAAGGGAGAGACACCAGCAACTAAGTATACTTCAGAAGTCTCAAATTCTCATTAGTTGACTTTCAGTTATCAATGTCAGCACCATGCTGCAGTTTATAAATCCCTAATGCAAACACTGCTCTTTGGTATTCTTGTAATGTTTTCATTTGAGAAAACCTGCAGAAAGAACTCTGCTTACACCAAAGCAAAGTAGCAAGGAAACAGGTTACCGTTGAATAATAAGGCCCTAAGAAAGGCAGCAGGTCGTATAGTTACCTCCTTGTGGGCAAAATCCCTGCCCTAAAACTATGCAACCTACTACCTCTTCCTAGGAACCCATTTTTTTTTTCTTGCTGGTCTTCTACTTGGCAGATGCACTTCAAATTAACCTGTTAAATTAGGTCATGTTCTTTTGAGTTTTGGTTCAAATTCAAACTAATCAGAATTCTTTCACGCATGCTTTTGAAAAGTTATCTGGCCATGTATGACCTTGGTAAAAAGTCGCAAATGTATTTGCTTAAAATGCAACCTCAAGTCACAAAGGAACAAGAAAGTAGTCTAATTACATCACAGGATGTAAGCCAGTAGTCTAACACTCTAACACATATTACTGGAGTCCTGGACTTTTAAACATTTAATTACTTTTTTCTTTTTTTTTTTTTTTTACAGAGTCTCGCTCTGTCACTCAGGCTGGAGTACAGTGGTGTGATCTCGGCTCACTGCAACCTCCACCTCCCGGGTTCAAGTGATTCTCCTGCCTCAGTCCCCCAAGTAGATGGGATTACAGGCGCCCACCACCACACCCAGCTAATTTTTTGTATTTTTAGTAGAAACAGGTTTTCACCATGTTAGACAAGCTGGTCTCGAACTCCTGACCTCAGATGATCCACCTGCCTCGGCTTCCCAAAGTGCTCGGATTACAGGCATGAGCCACCACGCCCGGCCTAATTTTTGTATTTTTATTAAAGACAAACCACCAGCTGGTCAGGACGGTCTTGAACTCCTGACCTCAGGTGCTCCGCCCACCTCAGCCTCCCAAAGTGCTGGGATTACGGGTGTGAGCCATGGTGCCCGACCCAATTACCAACATTTAAATATCAAATTTCATAAAATCTCCAGTCTCTCCTGGTAACTGGAAAAGTAGGTGACAATGTAAACCCTACTTGCTATCAACCACAGTAAATTAATTTACTGTATTTCCCAGTTATAGCTAGCCCCTCCTGGGCCTCTGATGGTATTTCAGTTTTTGACCCCTGAATTAAAGTAAACAGAAACAAATTCTGATGAATTTCATCATCATTAAAAACAAGCTTTTAGTCACTCTATCCATAAAGGCACTTTTAAAGTTTTATTTCAATTTACTTACTCTACTTAGCTAATAATGTCCATACGTAATTAATAAATAAATTAATTTTTCTGCAGGGCTTAGTTTAATTATTAAAGATACGTTTCCAACTGAAGGTGGCAACATTATGCTGGAAGAACATGTGTCAGAAAAACCACAAAATTTCATGACTGTACTTGCTACACTTTCACCAAAAGAGTTATACGTATTTTCAATTCACAAAGATTAAGCCAAAGAGAATTCTTAGAACATTCTCACTCTTCTTTGGCACATCAAAAGGCAACAAATGTCATTTTCTCCCATGTTTTTATGTGCAGTTTAGAACAAAGACCAATTATCTATGCAGCTGTCCACAGTGGATAAAACAAAAGGCATAAATTTGGTCCAGAGTAAGTCACCTGGGTTGGGCCCATCCAAGGAAGTCTGATGTTGCTACTCCCATGAAAAGTACCAATGGCACTGCACAGTGATTATCTTAGATATTAAAGATAAAAATTTCTCCTTAAATTTCCATTTATTGGAAATGACTGGAGAGGGAGGAACTTCTCCCTCACCTCCACACTGCCTCTTTTCCAACACAAAATAGTTTAAACAACATGCACTTAGAGAGCTTTTAGCCTTGCTTGTTGATTACAAGACCCAAGTTAAGAGTATGGCTTGCCCATCGGAGGAAAGCTAAAACATGGGCCTTCACGGGTGTTAAAATTCAAGAAAACTTTTCCAGCATTTTTTCTATTTTCTTTAAAGCAGCAACCTATGGACTTCCCCATCTGACATTTTCAAGTGATTCCACTGTGTGAATGAAGGACTACTTCAGGGTTTGAGGACAAAGCTGAGATCTTAGCACTTACCAGTGAGCAAAGGTAGAACCCAGAGCCCATCTCCCATCTCTCCTTTTCCAGCTGCTGAGTAAAGTCTGGCTCAATCAACATATCAATGAAGCAGTGCTTACAACATTCTCCAAGACCACCCAAAACCCAAACTGGAAATAATCATGATTAATCCGACTCATTTGGCTCACACAGTGCCCTTCCAATATGTATTTACCTTTACCACCCAGGACCTCACCTTGGACATGTGTACCAGGATGTACGGCTATAAACCTATTCACAATTCCAAAAGGGCCTGGTCCTCTAATTAAGATTTCCTGAAGGCTACTTACTTACTTTCTCTACTCATTAAGATTTTTGCTTAACTTCAAATTTCTGAAATATACCATATGTGAAAAATTTAAATGTTAATCTCTGTGCTACTGTACTATACTTGAACAGAGAAAATTAACTGATAAACTGTAAATACAGAAAGTCAAAATTAATTCTTCTGAGTTTTAATATCATCTAAATAAAAACAAAATAATGCAGCAAGTCTACTCCTCAGGGAAGGCAATAGATTGTATAGTTATCTCCTGAACAGGGTAAAATCACTACCCCACAACTATACAATCTACTACCTCACTCTGATAGAGCAATCTTTTCTTCTGGAATGGAAATTACAATCTCTTTCAAAAGAAAATGTCAACATAAAATTATCAGCATCAATCAAAATAAAAAAATACATTTATTCTGACACAGAGAAATAAGACAAGAAGCAAAAGGTATCCCCACCCCCATCCAGTGTACTTGCTACAGACTTTACCTCTAAAGTAATAAACTTACAGGCCATAAACAAATGCTGCACTACATCTTTTTAAGACAAGTTAATCTTAAATATTGTACAATTAGTTAACTGACTTTCTATGAGACCGCCTGGATGCAGACTTTTCTATCACGTTAGGAAAGACAGTAGATTGTATAGTTATCTCCCAGTGGTGGGTGTGACCCTAAAACTATACAACCTACTACCTCATCCCACAGTGAAGAGAACATCCAGGGTGAATGATGAAAAGGAATCACAGCTGACCACCACAGGAAGGCTTTTTTTTTTCCTCCTCGGTAATCTTGGTTTCCTGTGTGAGTGACAAGAAAAAAAAAAAGTATTAGACCATTCACTTATGTTGAAAATGAAGTTTAACTCAACATTTTGGCTACATGCGTAATCTATGCTGTGCTTTCTTTTCATTTCCTGTATTTCATTAATAGTATTTTAAATGCTTGGTTATCTGAATCCACTCCTAAAACCATGTATTTACAAGATTCAGAAATCACCTTCTTACCACCACCTTTTACTGAACTGTTGTTCTTATAGTTCCTATAAATGAAAATTTATGAAATAACTTATCCTTCAAGAAACAACAAAAAATCATTACAGAAAAACACAACAGCCTCTAATTAAAAATCCAATGACTTCAAAACCCAAAAGTGCTGTACATCATGCATAATCCAAATGCACCAACGTACAATCAGATGATATAAAAAATACACACAGAGAGAAACTAATTTTTAAACGAACCTACTCATTTATCCCATGCCAGCAAACACAAAGTGGTCTTATTAGAACTAAATCAAAGATAATCAACCTGGATCTGATTCAGGGTCAGGATTCTTTAGACAGAAAGGTAATACGTGCACTGAAGGTAGAGTCCAAAATCTTTAATAACCCCAAGTAATCTAAACCGTATTATTACTCTTTAATTTACAGACTTCATATTTAGGAGGTAGCTACTACAAAGATCATTTTTTAAGATAGGGACTACATTTATTTTGTAGTGATTTAGTAATCAAAAGCACTAATTTTTAAAATTGCAAAATGTAATAAAAAACATACGGCTCAACATAATAGAATTTAAAGTCTAGAAATAAACCCATACATGGGTCGACTGATTTTCAACCATGCCAAGACAATTCAACTGGGAATCGTTTTTTTGTTGGTTTTTTTTTGAGACAGAGTCTCGCTCTGTTGCCCAGGCTGGAGTGCAGTGGCACGATCTCGGCTCACTGCAAGTTCCCCCTCCCGGATTCATGCCATTCTCCTGCCTCAGCCTCCCGAGTAGCTGGAACTACAGGTGCCCACCACCACGCCCAGCTAATTTTTTTTGTATTTTTAGTAGAGACGGGGTTTCGCTGTGTTAGCCAGGATGGTCTTGATTTCCTGACCTTGTGACCAGCCCACCTCGGCCTCCCAAAGTGCTGGGATTACAGATGTGAGCCACCGCGCCCGGCCGGAAATCATTTTTTCAACAAATAACGTAGAGACAGCTGTATATCCATATGCAAAAGAATGGATTTGCATTCTTCTTTGTATACTGGTGTGCAAAACATACCACATAAAAAAGTAGCTTAAAACAATCTAATTTAATGGTAAGCAAAATTATTTTAATAGATATTTCACCAAAGATATAACTCATAAGCACAAATGGCCAACAGGCACATGAAAAGATACTACATTATTCATTAGGATGGCTAATAAAATTAATGAAAGTGCTGACAAGGCTGCGGAGAAAACTGGAACCCTCAGATTGTTGGTAGGAATGTGAAATGGTGCAGCTGCTTTGGAGAACAGTGTAGACAAGTCAAACAGTTGTTGTAAGAGGAATCAGAAATACGTATTTGGTCTCTATCTGAAGATCCTGGCTGGCATACAGCTCCTAAAACCCTCAGAATTTCCCACGTGATGAATGTCTGTTTAATGTTACTGAGTTGATTGGTGCCTCCTATCATCCCCCCAAGAGGGGGATGGTCACCAGAAAGACCAAGGCGTGATTAGTGGGGTGGAACTTTCAGACTCACCCCCTCAACCTCCAGGTAAGGCAGAGAGGATGGAGAGTAGGCCAATCATCAAAGGCCAATAATGTAATCAATCATGCCTAAGTATGAAACCTCCACAAAAACCCCTTAAGTGTCAGGGTTTGGAGAGCTCTGAGTTGACAAACACATCTTCTTGCCAGGAGGGTGGTGTAACCCTAACTCCATAGATACAGAAGCTCCTCTGCTAGGAACCCTTCCGGACTTCAGCTTAAGGACCTCTTCATCTGGCGATAATAAACCAGTGACAGTAAGTGTCTTCCTGTGTTCTGTGAGCCATCCCAGCAAATTGTAGACCTAGTGGAAGAAGTTGTGAAACCCCCTAATTTATAGCTGGTTGGTTAAAAATTCAGGCGGAAACCTGGGACTTGAAACTGGCATCTGCAGCGAGTGCAGTCTTGCATGTTAGAGCCCTCAACCTGTGAGGTTTGTACTAACTCCAGGTAGTTTCAGAATTAAATTGAATTGCAGGACACTCTTGGTGTCGAGTTGAAGAATTGATTGTTGATGTTGGAACTGGTTGGTGATGAGTAAAAAACAGTTCACCGTATGACCCAGCAATTCCACTTCTAGGTATATATCCTAGAGAACTGAACATAGGTGGGTGTGGTGGTGCAGGCTTATGGTCCCAGCTGAGTTACTCAGGAGGCTAAAGCAGGAGGATAGATCGCGCCTGGGAGTTAAAGTTGCAGGGGGCTATGATCACACCACTGAACTCCAGTCAGAGCAAGAGAGTGAGACCCTGGCCCTCCCTGCAAAAAAAAAAAAAAAAAAAGAAAAAGAGAATTGAAAAACCATGTACTCGAATGTTCACAGCATTACTCATTTACAGTCAATAAAAACCAGGGTTCAAATCCTGGCCCTACTACTAATTCACTGTCACTGAAACCTTGCAAAAGAAATTTAGCCAAAGTCCCTCAGCTTTCCTAGCTGCAGTATCAATGTGTCTGTAAGAAAAAGGGATTAATACCATATATCTAAAATATGTAAGGCCCCACTACTTCATCATCTCTAGATGAAAACTGGTGCTAAGAAACTTAACAACCTGCCCCAAATTAGAGGAGACAGCACTGCATCACCAAACTATACTACATTTTAGACTATTTCAATTCATTTCAATTCTACAAGGCCAGGTTATGCAAAGTACGAACTTGCAGACACACTTGTCCCTAAAGTCAGGCTCTTTATAAGCCAAAATATTTCCCATGAATCAGCACTGTCTTTACTTTTATTTTTCACTTTTTTATTTTTTTGAGACGAGGTCTCACTCTATCGCCCAGGCTGGAGTGCAATTGTGTGATCTCGGCTCCTGAAACCTCCGCCTCCTGGGTTCAAGCGGTTTTCCTGCCTCAGCCTCCTGAGTAGCTCGGATTATAGGCATGCACCATCACGCCCAGCTAATTTTTGTATTTTTAGTAAAGATGGGGTTTCACCATGTTGGCCAGGCTGTTCTCGAACTCCTGACCTCAGGTGATCTGCCTGCCCGCCTTGGCCTCCTGAAGTGCTGGGATTACAGGCGTGAGCTACTGCACCCAGCCTAGTCCTTACTTTTAAAACAGTAACAGCCAAAACAAAAACAAAAACAACAACAAAAAAACACAAAAAACAAAAAACAAAAACGGCTGAAAGAAAAAGCATCTGGTACCTCTACTACAATCCTCAACCGCTTACCAATTTTCTCAAATTTATTTTTTTTCCAACCTTGGTGTCACATGCTTACTTCGTATTGTTCTTTCTCAATCCAGCTATATAAATACATTATTGCTAGAAAGCACTCTCGTAATTTACATACCAAGTGCTATTACATGACCCTCAATTTTTTGAAAAGCATATGTATATAAATAATCCAATAAATAATATTGCTCACAAATCAATACTCTTACTCTAATGTGTTATTTTATTATATACATAAACTGATTTTATAATCTAATGGTTCCCAGCCTGCAGTTCAGAAAACACTGATTAGAGCAAATGGTGGAAACTAAAACCAAAAAGGTGAGGAAAAGCAATGTTCAGTCAGGGTGAGCTCTCATAAATACTGAACATAATCCATGAATTTATGGATTACAAGAACCCATGGAAATATTCATTTGGAAGTTAATTAAAAATCTTAACTAACTAATCACAACTATATAATGCTTGCCTCCTGGGAAAGAGTGGGTTGATAGCCAGTATACATTTAGTACTTGAAATTTTTCTGTCTACAGTTAATGCTGGCTCTCCATTTACTATGTCCTTGGACGTATCACCTAATTTCTGGGCCTTTGTTTACTTCTTAGGCATGATACTACTAGCTAAATTATCAAAATTTGAGCCTGCTGATACTTATGTCTTAAAAAGTAACAAAAATACTTTTATATCCACTTTCTATCGTTATTCACATACTACCTCAATCTATAGGTGGAACTACCCTCCCATTAAAAGTTATGGCAACTGGCCATGTGTAGTGGCTCATGGCTGTAACCCCAGCACTTTGGAAGGCCAAGGCGGGCAAATCATGAGGTCAGGAGTTCGAAACCAGTCTGGCCAATATGGTGAAATCCCCTCTACTAAAAATACAAAAATTCACTGGGTGTGGTGGCATGCGCCTGTAGTCCCAGCTACTCGGGAGGCTGAGAAGAAGAACCCGGGAAGTGGAGGTTGCAGGCAGCCGAGATCACACCACTGCACTCCAGCCTGGGCAACAGAGCAAGATGCCGTCTCAAAAAAAAAAAAAAAAAAAAGTGGCTGTGTTCTCTCATCGCCACTTGGGGGAACTATAACATCCACACCTCATGGGGTTGCTGTCAGGACTGCGATACACGCCAAGAAATTTAACCACTGAGAAGTTAACTCAATAAATGGCAACTGTACTTAATAAATTAATTTGACAACTATCCTAACAGTAATTTTACCTTTCCAGATATACTTGTGATGGTTAAAAATACTATCAATTTAAAGCATACTACAAGCAGGCAAATCTATTAGTTATAGATTTGTCTATATCTACATTTACATCAAGTTTTCATCAAGTAAGTTTTCATAACTAAGTTATTAACATTCACATTCCTAATTTCATTTTTGTAATGAGTTTGTTTTAAATTAACATAAAAATGGTATTTTTATGGTGCACATAAAATAGGTTTATATTATGGCTAAATCAAGTTAATTAACGTATGTACTATCCCCACAGACTTATTTTCTTATGGTGAAAACACTGAGGAACACATTCCTAACTTTAAAATATTTTTTAAAATAGCTTCTAATTTCTTAAAATACACTAAACTTTAGTCCAAATGCAAGCACACTCTACCTTTTAAGCACTTAATATCTAGTGAGTTTAAATTTTCTGAGCTAAGACATTTCCCTACACTTTATACTTTTACATTAATTTAGATACTCCTATAACAAAAGTAGCTCAAAAAGTTCACAAGTAAAATAAACTATTTCCTCCAGTCTCATCTTTGTTTCATATTCTATAATCAAATACAAATCAAAATTACAACACTGGCTACTATAATAGATTTCTTTCAATATCAAATAGTTGGTTATCAACAATTATCTGACAATGATGCAGGCTGAGTATTACATTAATAAGCAAACTCTCCGATAGTATTTTGCTTCCATCGATAGAGCATGTGCAACACATGAGATAATGAATTCTTCACACTTATAACTACGTTTCTCTAAAGAAATTTAACCTAATTCTAATTTAAGACTTTTATTTCTTATTCTATCAAACATCACACTAACCCTGAGATTAAGTTTGAAATGGCTAAGTACTAGGTCAGGTTTGAATGGCTAAGTACTAGGACTATTCCTTATTTCCTTTCACTTTTAGACACATAGCAGACACTTAAGATAGTCTTAAAGAATATCCAACTTGGCTGGCTTGTTTTGCTGACCATTATACATAAACCATTATTTCTCAACCCTTTAAAAATCTTCTGCCTTCCTATCCTCCATTACACTGTTATGTTCCTGGGTTGAAAAAACCACTATGTAGTGTACACATCCCCCCAGCCAAGAAAAAAAGTAGGGTCTAATTATTTAATCTAGATTCCACAGTTTACTATAATTAACTGTATCCTTAGTAGGCAATTCATAGTCTATACTGCGCAAGAGTGAATTCATTAAGAAAAAAGTTCACTTCTAAGCATTCGAGAATTATGTAAGTGGCCAATAAAAATGTGGGGTGGGTTTCTCAGGTGACCAAAAAAGTACTGTAACTTCCTGTTAATGAAAAATTCACACAAAGCAGAAAAGTATCCTCAGGGGATTGCTTCCAGGATACTTCCTTCTCCCGGAGGAAACAAGTCCCTTATAAAATGTGTCATATTTGCATGTAACCTGCACACATCCTCCTATATAACTTAAAATACCTAATACGATGTAAAATTATGTAAATAGTCACTATACTATATTGTTTTTGTTTGTATTATTTTTGTTGTATATACTTTTTTCCTCCAAATATTTTCCATCCGAGGTTGAATTCAAGGATGCAAAATCCTTGGACAGAAAGGCCAACTGTGCTTAACAGAAAAGCAAAATACTCCCAACTTGTATACATTATGTTATTGTAGAACAAATCACCCAAAATGTCTTATTCTTAGAGAAGCAAAAGAAACTTAAAAGTATGGCTGTCGGCTGCCTCAAAATACTTCAATCTTGTATCTAGAAAGGGCCTAAGAAATCACCTGATTCAGCCAGGAACCCAGTGGCTCACACCTGTAATCTCAGCACTTTGGGAGGCTGAGGAAGGAGGATCACTTGAGCTCAGGAGTTGGAGACCAGCCTGGGCAACCTAGTGAGACTTTGTTTCTATCATTAAAAAAAGAAAAACGAAAAAAAAAAAAAAAAAATCACCTAGTGCAATTTCTTCACAATTGAGATGAAACTGTGGAGAGACAACTTTTTTTTTTTTTTTTGAGACGGAGTCTGGCTCTGTCGCCCAGGCTGGAGTGCAGTGGCCAGATCTCAGCTCACTGCAAGCTCCACCTCCCGGGTTTATGCCATTCTCCTGCCTCAGCCTCCCGAGTAGCTGGGACTACAGGCGCCCGCCACGTCGCCCGGCTAGTTTTTTGTATTTTTTTAGTAGAGATGGGGTTTCACTGTGCTAGCCAGGATGGTCTCGATCTCCTGACCTCGTGATCCGCCCATCTCGGCCTCCCAAAGTGCTGGGATTACAGGCTTGAGCCACTGCGCCCGGCCGAGACAACATTTTTGACTGTTTATCTGAAACTACAACTATTCAGCAAGAGAAATCTAATTTTAAAAAATCTAATTTTTTAAAAACACAGTGCACTAAAACTGCACTGTTCATTTGGTAGCTGTTGAGCACCTGAAATGTGATTAGCCCCAAGTGTATGTGCCACAAGTGTAAAACACAGTCTGGATTTCAAAGACTTAGTACCAAAAATAGAGTAATGGCTCTCATATTTTGTCTGTTTATTTAATGAAGTCCATTCTTAAGTGATTATACAATGCTCAGAACACCCACACAGGCAAAAAGCATATACCGATCAGTCCTGAGGTCACATTAGGCAATGCTGACAACTCACTACTGGGGATTCGGATTCTTCTAGTCTCATCTAGACATGGACAGATAATTGGCAATTAATATTCTGGGATGGAAAAGATCTCTTATGGTCTAAAGAAAAGCTTCGCAGGCTATTAAAAAATACTATGATTAAAACGCATACTGGTCATGGATGGCAAATTTATTTCCCAACTTGTGAAAACTAAAGTGAGCGGCTCATGTTCCACCAAATATAAACAGCCCATTTAATACTCCTTAAAAAATATTAAACTATAATACTTTATACAATGCTATAAACGAGAAAAACACCCTACAGAATAAGTTTTTCAACTTTTGACGCTTAGCTTCACAGGATTATTTTGCAGGAATACACGTGTCGAGCTGCATCACCACGCTATTTTGTATTCAACTGAGTATTTTCTACTTTTACAAAAACTCGGATCACCACCCACTAAAGTGACTTCATGACACAATGACTCAGGACCTACAGTTTGAAGCACTAGTTTGGCGCTCTTAACACTCAGTAATTCCCATATGAGTAGTTGTTATACTATCTTAGCCATTAAAATAAAAAATACACAATGTCTAGTGTACTGCTCTCTAACCCAAGAAATGTCTAGTTAAAGGAATAAAATGACCTTAAGGTATAAACATTTGAGACTAACTTTTTAATACTTATTTCTTCACTCTGTAAAACTGAACGCAGTTACTTACACATTTTCGTTTTAGAAATGGTTGTTTTGTTTCACTCCACTTTTCACACTTGCAAGATTCTTAAGGGTCTCAAGTTCAATAGAGCTTCAATTTAAGTGAGGGGAACCCACAGCCTATCTACACATAAAAATACTCTCTAATTGTCACTGCAATGTAACTACCCAAAAAAGTTAACTTTTTCCCTCACACTGTAATTGTACCTAAGCGATACATTTTAAAATGCTATTTAATACCACTGAATTCACAAGACGTCATGAAATTTGTCTATTCTCAAAGCTGAGGTTTCAAAGTAAACTTTTAACAAATATGTATAATAAATCAAACATTCTCACAAAACCCAAAGTAACTTCCAAGTTTTCACTTCCCTAAGTACACGTACTTCCTGAATATACAGTAAATAAAACCAGGCCCTGCCAAACACCAAAAGAAATCTGGATATAAACTATTATTTCCTAAACTACACATAAATTTGGAATTTGACATTCAATGTTCTTACACTTCAGGCCAACAGAAATAAATGCAAAGGAATGCCACATGATGTTTTAACTTTAGGAACTGGATGCCAAGAAAGCAGTATTTATCAATGAGGTTAAAAAGCAAAACTCAACCAGTTTCCTGATTTACCTCAACATTTTAACATTCCCTGTCTTCTCTGCCTTTTTTCTTGTCTGCCCACCCTCTCGTTAGTCAATTTTTTAAAAACCGGAAAGTTGAAAAATACATACCATCACCTCTGACACAGAATCTACTGTAAAAAGTTGAAAGACCGAAGGGCATTACTGGCCAAGGACATACAGGTTACCACATTCCTCACACTGGAGCCCGCTGGGGAAGTTTATTAGCAAGCCTTCTCCAGGCACTCCGCTCCAAGAGTTTGTAGTGTCGAGTCAAAAGGCCAGCGCTGTTTCCGGTGACACCGAGTCCCAAATCTCCAAGCCCCGTCCCCCGGGATACGATTTCCTCCCGCTCCCGCGTTCCCCTCCCCCTCGCCAAGGACGGCTGCCGCAGCGGACCTCCAGCCGCAGCAGCTGCTTCAGGAAGGGAGGCTGCACTTGGCCGCGGGGAGCAGGGGCATACAGCCAGCCACGACTCTCCCGCCCTCCCCGCCCGCGCCTTCCCGCCCCGTCCCCCCGCCCCTCGCACTTCCTACCTTCCCTCCTTCATCCCAACCCCCAAGGCCAAGGTCTCCCCGGCCCACAAACATGATAGCGGAAGTGACGTCAGAGGCACCTGGCGGCGCCTACATCCAGTCACGCCACAGCATGAGGCCGCGCCGGCCAACAGGCGCCGGCCGGAGGGCGGGCCTTCCGCCCGCCCCAAGTTTGATTGAAGCGGGGGGAAGGGCGGGGTAAGGAATGTGAAGAATGACCCCCCTCCCCCGCCCTGTCGGTGAGGAGCTGGGCGGGAAGCGGAGGGGGTTGGGGCCGGCCCCGCGGCGGCCACGCGGCACCCCTCCCCCGTGCCCCGAGCGCCCGCAACCTCCGCTCGCGACCCGCCGGCCTCCCAGGACCACTCACCCGCTGGAGGCGGCAGGCCGCCCCACGAGTCCCAGCCCGCGCTAGCCGGACGGGCGCGGGCCGGCCCACGGCTCTCCCATTCTGCCCACCCGCTGCCGCGAGTCTCAGAGAGAAAAAATGGCGACGGACCCGCTCTCGCCGCCGCGGCCGCCATACCCACCTCGCGCTCGCGGAGAGGGCCGTCGCCGCCGCGGGAATGTCCCGGCCCTCGGGCCCGCCGCCGCCGGGAGAGCAGCGCGCCAGGACCCGGATGAAGGCGCGGGCGTGCGCCGCCGCGGCGGCCTGAGGGAAACCAGCGCGGGCGCCGGGAGGCCGATGCAGGGGCGGGCGCCACGGAAAGCGCTCAAGCCCATTGGTGAAGCCGTCTGATTGAAGTGCGCGTCGCTCTTTCGCCTTGGCCTAGCTGAGCTCGTCCGTCCCCCCGACTGGAGGGCGGCGGCTGGGCCCGCCTCGCGCGGGGCGTCCACCGCGGGGAAGGCGGGTCTGGCCCGCCTACCAATACCATCTCCTTCTTTTCTATTGGAGGGCTGGGAGAGTGGCGGGAGTGGTGTCCTCCGGGCCCCGCCCTTTGCGCGTGATGGGCTGGCTGTGTCACGTGGCCGCTGAACGCACTTCCCGCGGGGCGGGGCGGCTGCTTTGCTTCCTCAGGCTTCTGGGGCGATTTACACGTGCGCGACCCGGAAGGTCCAAACGCTGTCCAGGGTGCAGCCTCGGGCCCTTCTCTGTCAGCTGACCCTGTGCCCTTCTGGAGGCCTTGGCCAGGCCAGCTCTCTGTGCCTCAGTTTGCTCATCTGTCAAATGGAGGAGTTGTGTCCGCCCAACCTTTTACTTTTATTCCTTTAAGTTTTGGGGTCTGAGAGTTTTTTTGTTACTTGTGTTTTCGAGACAGGGTCTCTGTCTCCAGGGCTGGTGCAGTGGCGCGGGTGACGGCTCACTGTAGCCCTGACACCCGGGGTCTAGAGATCCTCCCACCTCAGCCTCCCTGAGCTTTCTTTTGTTATCTTTTCCATCCCATGTTTTGAAGATTTTTGTCTTAAAACGTTTTTCAAAGCAATCCTTGATTTTCTTGTTTTAAAGTTAATCCAAAGCAGAGTTCCTCCATCCCCATTACAACTTTCACATGCTAGGACTCTGAAATCACTAGTTAAGGTACCGTTTGAGGTCTCTGCCAGTTCTAAGATTTTATGACTGAGAACCCCAAGACCTGGGCTCTTGCTCTGCTTTTAGTAATTCTTTGTGACTTTGAGCAACACTTTAAAAATTTGGGTCCTTATCTGTAATAGAACTATGGGAAATAGTACTTGACATGCTGTACGTTTACATTTATGATCTCAGGTGGTGATACCAGCTCCCCTTTTAGCACTCATGTTAGTGCATGCAGTAAGTGCCAAAGGAGTTTGTTTCGTTTTGTTGTTTTTGATGGGGACTTTATTTTGTGAGCTAAAGTGGACAAGAAACTAGAGGGGGGAAAACTTGAGCTTGAGCCATGGGTGGGATTTAGGGAGGACTTCTTGAGGTTGGAAGATGTATTGAGAAAGGAGAGAGCAGGCCCCAGAGCTGGATAGAGTACAGTTCAGGGAAACTGTGTGTTTATGCTGCAGGGGATGTGGAACTCTTCAAGGGCAGAAACTGTTTCGTTCCTGTCTATGCCAAGTACCTAGCACATCAGTAGGGCGGTATTAAATGAAATCTAATAATGATGAAGTAGGCAGAAGTGGGAAGAAAGTATTAGCAAATAAATCAGGATGTTGTTGAATATCAGAGTTAAGAGGTGCTGTGAGCTTCAATTAGAGGTTGGTAGTAGAGGCTAGTGGGCCAGTGTGTTTTAGAAGAAATTTATAACAAGAAGCCGTATAGCACTATGAGCCCTTCTGACATTTTCTTCATATGTTCATCGGAAACTTCTTGGTGAGTTTGCAAAGGTGCATATGACATACATTACCCTTTACCTTCCTATCTATGCTTCATTTTTTACCCTTAAAGGCCGACTAAATGACCCTAAAGTGGAATCCATTTGGAAAATGTTAATGGATTTGCCAATATACATGAAAACTGAATTTTAAAAAACTTTGAGGTTAAAAGACAAATAAAAATTGGCAACATTGTAAAAATCTAAAAACATCTCTAAGAGACAAAACATTAATCTGGATGTCCAGTGGTTAAAAGCAAGGATCTGGAACCAGACTGCTGAGTGTGAATCCTAGTTCTGCCTCTTCCTAGCTGTACAACTATACACTGGGCAAATTGTTTATCTTTTCTGTGCCTCAGTTTCTTCATCTATAAAAGAGGGATAACAATACTTACAGGCTGTTGAAAAGATGAATATAAACATCTTAAGAGCTAAGAACAGTGCTTGGGACACATAAGTACTACATAAGCATTTGCTAATATGTTATCCTTAATAAAGTGGATTGTTTTTTCAAATCAGTAAGATAAAGTGAACACTCCTATTAAAATATGGTCTGTTTAAAAGGATGTGAACTGACAATTAACAAAAGAAAATGGCAAATACATGTGAAAAGATGCTCATCCTCACTAGTAATCAAATAAAGACAAATCTTTAAAAAACAATGAAAGCGTTCTCATCTCTTAGTTGATCAGTGGCATTGTAGAAGGAAACACTGGAGGCATTAGTATAAATTTCTGCAATTCTACGGGCCAATTTGGCAGCAAGAATCGGAATCTTTAAAAGTGTTCTTTAATCCAGCATTTAGTCCCGCTAGGAATTTATGCCTAGAAAATAACAGGACATACATACAAAGATCCTCCACAGGCATCATCTTGTTTATAGTAGCCTCAAATCACAACCATCTACCAGTACACCATCGGGAGTGCATAAATTATGGTCCAAACATGCCATGAGAAGGTATGATCATGGCCAGGCATAGTGGCTCACGCCTGTAATCCCAGCACTTTGGGAGGCCGAGGAGGGGGGATCACTTGAGGTCAGGAGTTTGAGACCAGCCTAGCCAACATGGTGAAATCCCATCTCTACTAAGAATACAAAAATTAGCCGGGCGTGGTGGCATGTGCCTGTAATTCAGCTACTCAGGAGGCTGAGGTGAGAGGATCACTTGAACCCAGGAGGCAGAAGCTGCAGTGAGCTGAGATCATGCCATGGCAGGCCAGCCTGGGTGACAGAGTGAGACTCCATCTCAATTAAAAAGAATTTCAGCTTAAAATGTTCTTAGTTCTTCAACAGAACCAAGATACTGATGGTTGACAAATATCTACAAGTCAAATCAAAGCATTTGTAAACAACAGGGGAAACAAAATTCATTGAGCGGGAACTTTGTCTTGCTCTCTCTTGTGCATCCAGTCACCACCACAGGGCCTAGCACCCGACAGTCATTCCTGACCTTTGTGATCCGCCCGTCCGGCCTCCCAAGTGCTGGGATTACAGGCTTGAGCCACCGCGCCGGCCTCCTTTTGTCTATAGTAACAGAACCCAGTTTTTTGGTGAGAGTAAATTAAATGACCTCCTGAGC